ATCCCTAGAGTCGAGACTAAGAGGAATGTATAAACCAATGATTCCATATATTTGATCGTGGTTTACAATTATAGCTTTCATACCTGTTTGTTTCTTTTTATTTTCTTTTTTTTATCATCTTCCGGATAAAGAACGAACAAGAGTAAAAACGAAGTTGATTCAAATAAAGATTTCTCTGGTACCCTATGTCAATAAAAGTAAAAGAAAGAAAATAAGGGCGAAAGAAAGATACCAAGGCAATGTTGTATCAGGCTGCCTGTCTTTTTGTAGTTGGATCTCCAAGTTTTTGGAATGCTCCAAATTCGACTTGAGCATCTAAATCTGGGTCAATACCAGCAAAAACATCTCTGAACAAGGTTCTAGCACCATGCCAAATGTGTCCGAAGAAAAAGAGCAAAGCAAACGAAGTATGCCCAAAAGTAAACCAACCCCTTGGACTGCTACGAAAAACACCATCGGATTTCAAAGTAGCGCGATCTAATTCAAAAATTTCACCCAATTGAGCACGTCTAGCATATTTTTTCACAGTAGCAGGATCACTATAACTGACGCCGTTGAGTTCACCGCCGTAGAACTCAACAGTTACACCTACTTGTGTATGGGATCATCGAATCAATAGCAATAAGCCCGGTTTGAAGAGGCTCATATACAGAACGACGCGAAATAATACCCGGGGCGGCAGATTCAATTAATCGAAATTCAGAAGCTGAAATTTCACCTCTACCATCAATAGGTTTAGCCAGGGCATTTATAACACGACCCAAATAAGCCTCACTCACGGGTATCTGAGCAATTCTTCCCGTTGCTTTTACAGAACTTCCTTCTTGTATCAACAAACCATCACCCATTAATACAACACCAACATTATTTGATTCCAAATTCAGAGCAATGCCTATTGTACCCATGAATCTCCCCGATGGTTAGAAATAGAAAGAGTAAATACGAATTTCAATACTTTGCTTATGTACAACTACAAAGTACCAAGCATTCTAATTGGATTAGATTAATATCAATGGATCCTTTATCAGTCATTCATTGAATGATAAATAACTACAAGTGACAGAGACAGACAATTTAAATAACGGAAAATTCAATATTTAAAAATAGTATCGAGAATGACTGGAAAGGTGGAAACAAGACCAGATATAATTTGATCATTATGAACAAATCCAAAATCTTTATAGATAGAGCCAATCATTAATTCCCAACCGTGGGGTGAATGGAATCCGATACATAAATCAGTTAATAAAAGAATAGAAAAAGCTTTTACTGTGTCACTTAAGTTATATAGGAATTCCTGAGCCCAAGAGTTAAGAATAACAAGTTTTTTATTACCCAAAATTGAATACCCGCTTAGAATAATAAAACAGATGATATTTGTCGAGAAGTGCAAAATCGTATGGATACGATTCTCATTTTGTATCTTGATTAATTGGATCGTTTCTTTATGGATTCCTATCCCAAACTCTTCGAGATGCGTTTTCGAGTATTCCTTGATCATTTCGTCCAAGAAGAGGAGTTCCTCTAATTCTATAAATTTTTCTAGAAGACTCTTTTCTTGAATATTATTCAAAAAAAATTCGGATTGCCCAGTATTCCACCAATTAGTAACCCAAGATTCCAGACATTTATTAATTGAGAAAGAAATCCACCAGGGCAAAAATACTATAGATGCAAGATAGAAAAGAGGAGTGAATGCTTTCTTTTTTGCCATTTTTTCATCTGTGAATTGTTAATCAACCCATTTGTACACTCCATGCGATCGAATATTTCTTACACACATGAGTTTTATACAAGGTATCGGACTAATGAATCTATTTTCTTTGTGATCTTGTGGTTAGTCTTTGAATCTAGAAAGAATCCAGAAAAAAGCTAAGAATTCACTTCGAATGAAGAAATTCAGAATATTGTTTCCTGATACTGATATCTCAATTTCTCAAAATACTTCAATTGGTACAGGCATCTCCTTCAAAGCTTCAATCAATGGTATATTTACCTGGATTTGCTTTAGCATTTCAAAGAACTTCTTGTATTGCTCCTCCTTTTTGTACTTAGCCAGCCTCTGAGGGAAGGGTGCAGGAGGTCTCTTCTTCCCAATCAATTGGGACTGATCTTTATCAGCAGCTACATCAACTATTGGCTCCTGGACTGTTTCAGCTTCTTTCCCGGTCTCCTTCTGAATGGTATTTTCTTCTTGAGCAGGCTGGACTGTCACCTCTGTTAGTTTTGTTGATTCATCCAGCTCAATGGGCACTGGTATGAGTGTCTCAGCCTGTCTAGCTTCTCGAGCCCTTTCTTGCTCTACATCCAGATCTCTGCCATTACGTAGGCTCGCCGCCATCAGCTGCTTCGGTCCCTGATCTTTTGGGTTTATCTGGGTGTCTGCAGGTAGTGTCCCATGAGGACGATTGTTCAGAGACATCAAAATTTGGCCCACCTGTACCTCAATATTTTTGATTGCTGCATCATGTGCATCGACTCTCTCAGTAATTTTTGCATTAGATCCAATAACCTGTTGCATCATTGCTTCAAGTCTAGCAAACCCATCTTCCTGCTTTCTACCATGCTGCTGCTGAGGCGGGTGATACCCCTACTGCTGATTCTGATTATTGTATCCCTGTGGTCTTGGGTAAGGTGCCATATTGTTGGGGGGTCTCATACCTCCCATGTACCCAGTGTTAAACTGTGGCTGTGCTGGCATGTACTGCTGATTCTGTTGACCCTAATTCTGTCCACCCTGTCTCTGGCCGCCATAATTAGACACATAGTTCATATCTTCAGGGTAGTGATGATGATCGTGTTCTGCGTTCCACTGGTTACCAACTGGCTGACTAATGCAAGATGTGCACAAGCCCCCATTAGTAGTATCAACAATATGTACCTGCTTTTTCTGCCCTGACTCTTCCACCTTTTTGGTGAGTATGCTCATCTGTGTCAATAAGGTGGCCATATTTTCAGCCATAGAATTGGATGGATCTAAAGGCACTGAGCGCACCACTAGAGTGATAGGTGCATTTCTGGTTATCCACCCCGAATTCTGTGCCATCTTGTCAAGCAGACTCTGGCCCTCTCTTCATGTTTTGCTCAAGAATGCCCCACTAGCTGAAGCATCAACAATGTTCTTTACGCTATCTGACAATCCCATGTAAAACCGCTGCCCCAACATTAGATCTGGAACACCATGGTGTGGACAAATGACCAGCATCCCTTTAAAACGCTCCCATGTTTCATGCAGTGTTTCCATCGGTCTCTGTTTAAAGCTCAAAATCTCATCAATTTGTTGAGCCGTCTTGTTGGGTGGGTGGAACTTGTTGTGGAATTGCTTCACTAGTTCTTCCCACGTTGCTATAGAATTTATGGGGAGTGAATTTAGCCAGGTCTGGGCAGCTCCTGTCACTGAGAATGGAAACAATAACAGCTTGATTGCTTCCGGAGTTACATTGGGTTGCCTTTGGGTTTTGCAGATAGACAAGAAATTCTTCAAGTGCTGCTGAGGATCTTCAACTTGTGACCCCGAAAATAGTCCCTTATTCTGCAACAAGTGCAGCATGTTATTTGTGATTTGGAATGACTCAGCCTGTATCTGCGGGACTACTATCGCTGTGGATAGATTCTCAGCTGTGGGTTGTGCCCAGTCATAGCGAGCAGCCTCTGGCGCTGGCGCTATTGGTACTGCTGGGTTTTCCTGGTGATCTCCCATGATTGTTTCGAATTGTGCAGTTGTTGGTTGTTGTTTGTTTTTCCGGTTGGCCCGATTCAAAGCCTTGAAAACTTTCTCGGGATCTGATAATGCTTCAAATACTTCACCAGATCTCGATGAGTTTCTAGGCATGCACCTGTGCAACCCAGTCAACAAACGTTAAAATTTCAATGTAAAAATTGGGTATAGAGAAAACTGACTACACTAAGAATTTTTGTACTTCTTTCAATTGTAATTGATAACACCGTTAATTCCCCGGCAACGGCGCCAAAATTTGATCACGCCCAACTATGCCTTATAAAAGGACACGCGGACGTTGCAAATATAACCTGAGTATTTATGCCCAGAGTCGAATCCACAGAGAATTAACCTATCAATTACTTTTGTTGGACTTACTAAATTCTTTATAATCAACTTCCCCAAACGTTGTAAACAATAGTTGATGGTATTTCTAATAACTAAGACTGAAAGTAAATAAACAGCTGTAAACTAAATATGCTTGGGTTGTAAACAATAATGAGAAGGTTCTAAGGTAGTGATTTCCCCTATTGATGGAATCCCTTCCGGTTATGTTTCATATAGATTCACCAAACCATCTCTATCAATCATGAGCACTCTTTTTACCGTAAATCTCTCCCGAGTAATCGCGATAATTTACTAGACGCACTCTCCCGAGATACGCTAGCTGACTTTGTTTATTACAGCTCACTTTAGATTGCACCCAAGGCTTCGTTATCCCTAATCCCGCCTTTAAACCCGCAGTTATAGATCCCTCTTATACTTTGGGAGTGGTGTTGTTCAACAACTACCTAAATATGCACTCTCTTCCGAGTTATGCACACTAAATAGGCACAACTAATTGAGGATCCTGTCAATTAACTACAACAAACACGTAGTTGAACAAATAGAGATTAACTGGCAAACTATATTAACATAATCAAGAAGTTCATCCTTCAATAGGTTCCATCAAAACCTTAGACTAAAGTATTTAGCTACTCATAACAATGTAAGGAAAAACTACGAAAATATTCATAATCGAAAATAGCAAGAAAAAGAAGAGATAAAGAACTATGTTGTTTTTGGGTGATCTCTCACACTTTTGTCTTGCCAAAATAATCTCCAAAACAAGCCTGCCCTAATGTGGCCGAATTTCTACATCTTATAAGGGTTTTACACTAAATTTTCCCGACTTGACACTTTGGTCCCTGAAGTTTCTGTGTCCTGCCGCGGTCCCACCGCGGTTACGCCAGGACCGCGGCCAGAATGGTCCTCTGAATCTGCAGCAATGTTCTGTCGCGGTCCTACCGTGGTTACGCCCGGACAGCGGCAGGCCAGCTTCAATTCTGGTTTTGTCCCTTCGCTTGGTGCACTTTGTGGGTATTGTATGATTGACCTCCTTTTCTCCGTAATTGATCCCAAAAGTACTCCACAGACTTCTTTTATTGGATATAACCTGCAAAGCATGAAAAGCACTAATCAGAGCATTTGGTTATCATTTTTTTACCATAAAGCTATACAAAAATGTGGTTCTTTAGGGCCTAATTATAGTTTAATTCACCTATTATCATGTGGCTATAAAAATTTGTCATCAAAAATAGAATTGAAGTTAATCTTTTTGTTTTTCAAATTTAAAATACTAGTTATTACTTTCGTTTTAGAGTAGATTAAGAGAAAATTTTATCGTATAAACTGAAACAGAGGGAATAATACTTTATTTTTCCCCCAAATATTAGATGTTTTGGACTTTTAGCAAACTCATATATTCTAATGCATTTAACGATTTGGGAACACAATTTTTTTTTTTACAAAGTCACTCCTACAGCTCTAATCAGTGGTCTTAATTATGTGATACGTTTTAAAAAATAAATGGTAGTTTATATAAATAACAACAATAACAACAACAACAACAACAACAACGGCAACAATTTAGTGTAATTCAACAAGTGGGGTCTGGGGAGGATATGATATACGTAGTAACGTAGACTGTTTTCGGTAATTTATATAAATACTCTTATAATTTATTTATTTTTGGTAAATAAAATTTTATTACCAAAATTAGGGTGTAAGTACAAAAGAAAAAGATTACTACTGGACAACAAGTCCCAATAGCAATCACAGAAAAGCAACATAATCCTACAATCCCTCGGACACATTCAATTTATTTGTTTTGTCCGATCCAAAAAGTCTTATATGTTAAAGTTATCT